ACCTAGTTTCATCCCCACAGAGAGGAAATCAGGTGCAGGAACAAGTCACAAATGGTACTGACAAGGAATTCCTGAGTCTGATGAATTGTGGCCCTAAACAGAGAAGTGGAATACAATTAGGCAGAAGGAGAAAAGAGAGAGGAAAATATTTAAGGAGGCTCTGGCAAGTTGAAAGTGCCTTGTATTCTCTGTAAGGTATTGGTTCTCCTGATTCCTGATTCTATCCTTTCTCTGCCACGGAAACAAGAGGTCAGTGTGTTTCATTTCCAGATAGCATGTTAGTGGCCCTACCTCCTGGGGTTAAACATCTCTGCAGTGACCTGTCAGAGAGTTGATTATTAGCTGTGTAAAGCGAGGGATACTGTAGGGAGCAGATGGGAAGTGGCTTGGCTGTTGCAGCCAGGCTGATTAAAGAATCTTTGGCAGTTTTACAGTGTGTTTTTGGAAATGTACCATCAAAGTTACTATGAGGTCTGCTGGGTTTGGAAAGCCGGATTTCTGAAAAGTCACCTGGTTGAGAAGTACTACTCATAAAAACTCTTAACACCCTCGAAAATAGGACAGTGGTTCTCTACAGAGAACATCAGTACTCCTAAAGATCAGTCTTCATAATATGTTTTCTTTGCATCCTGGTCATTCAGAAATTCTGGGTAGTTTTCTAGTAGGGAAAATACTCTATTATAGCAATATTAATAGAATTACAGACTTGAAAGAAGCCCTAGGTATGTCCAGACTACCCTCACCACACATAGAGGAATTCTTTGTGTAATTTAATTGCCAGGTGGTTATGCTTTTTCTGCTCAATACTTTCAGTAATAAAGATATAGTGTCATTAGGCATTGTGAGCCATTGTTGGAAATCTCAGGTTGTTAATTTTTTTCCTGAGTTAAATATCTGTTTTTCTGTAATTTCTACTTACTGGTCTTGTTTCTTCCCTCAACATCACAAAATAAATTTCTCTCTTCTACATTGCAGTAATCATATATTTAAAGCTAACTAGCCGGTCTCCCTTCAGTATTCTTCTTTCTGGACTAAAGAATAGTAGTTATAAGATCTTTTGTCTTATGAAATGGCTTCTTGGTCTTAAACTATACTCCTCTGACATCCCTCCATTTAATATCTCACTCAAGATGTGCAACCTGACCCTGGCTGTTGTGGCTCAGTTGGTTGGAGCCATTGTCACTTACACCAAAATGTTGTAGAGTCGATTCCTAATCAGGGTACATACCTAGGTTGCATGTTCAGTCCCCGGTGGAGATGCTTATGGGAGGCAACCTATTGATGTTTCTCTCTTACATTGATGTTTCTCTCTCACATTGATGTTTCTCTCTCTCTCTCTCTCTTTCTCTCTCTCCCCCCCCTTCCTGTCTGTCTAAAATCAATGAAAATATCCTTGGGTGAGGATTAAAAGAAAGATATGGAATCTGGAAATGAGCACAGACAGTCAGATGTTCTTTTCATATTCTGAAAAGCACAGTTTTTAAAAAAATGTAATGGCAGTATTTCATGTTTACTAGAAAAAACAAAACAATTACAAGAATTATTCAAATTTATGCTATGCTGAACTGATTTTAGTGCTTCAAATAATTTTTAACAGGATGGATATATGTGTTCTTACATAACTGAAAATCGATTGCTTTTACATATGACAACTTGATTCACTGTGAGACCCCTAACAGCTGCTTTTTTCTCTTGAAAATTTTGTAGACTTTTAATTCTCATTTTAGTGAGTTTTTTAAATATATATTTTATTGATTATGCTATTGTAGTCTCAATTTTCCCCCTCCACCTGGTACCCCCTATTCTCTCTGGCAGTCCCCCCCTTAGTTCATGTAGTTTGGGGTTGGCCCAGTTTTTGTCTTTTTATAAAGGAAGATGGGGTTTCTTCCTATTTTCATACAACAGATCAGCCAATATACAGAGAGCTGTCAGAATCTCTCAGTGTGCACTAAAATTTTTATGTACTTTATATTCTTTCCTTTACATAGTCCTTTAGCGTCTTTCTCTTCCAGTACCATTCTGCTTCCTAGAGAAAGGTTTCTTTTTTTATTTTTTATTTTTAAAATTTTATTTCTTTATCTTTAGAGGGGAAGGGAAGGAGAGAGGGAGAGAAATATCAATGTATGGTTGCCTCTTGTGCGTCCCCTGCTGAGAACTGGCCTGCAACCCAAGTATGTGCCCTGACTGGGAATTGAACCGCGATCTTCTGATTCTCAGGCCTGTGCTCAATCCACTGAGCTACACCAGCCAGGGCAGGTTTCTTTTTTCTTTAAAGGAACATATTTTGGAAGTTTTATTGTTTTTCCAAGACTAAACAAACCTGGGGTTGTTGTAATGGTTACATTGGTTAAATCACATACTAATGAGAGTGTGGCTCTGGAGAAAAGTGGTAAGCCTTAGTTGAATGTGAGTTATGCTATAAGACTAGCCACACTTGCAAAGATTAAAGGGGTGGCCCTGGCTGGTGTGACTCAGTGGATTGAGTGCTGGCCTGTGAACCAAAAGGTCACCAGTTCTATTCCCAGTCAGGGCACATGCCTGGGTTTGCGGGCCAGGTCCCCACTTGGAGGCATATGAGGCAACCCATCAATATATCTTTCACACATCAATGTCTCTCCCTCTCTTTCTCACTTTCTTCCCTCTTTCTAAATAAATAAAAATCTTTAAAAAAGGTTAAAGAGGTGATTAATTATGATGATGGGGAGAACTATGTTTTAATCCTCTATAATGCAGATTCACTTAGCATTCCCTTTTCTAGAAATGCTTTCTGCCCTTTATAATAGAATAATTTCCAGTACCATGTTCCCCTGTGTTACTATCTTAACTTGCAGCTGTATTTCCAGTGCCTGGCACATAGTAGGAAACATTGAATGAATGAACAAATATATACTACACTACTCTTTTATATAGGCCAAGTCTTATGCAGTGTTGAGAATTCCAAACATTTTACTAAAAATTTATTCAGGATTCTAAATCATTTTGCAGAGGTATTTCTCTGACTGTTCAACAGTTATGTTTCCTTTACCTTGTAGGTGGCATTTTTCGTAGTTCCTACATCATGTTCCCTATTACACATACACTTTTGAAAATATATATTTATTAAATTTATTGATTTTTTTCTTTTCTTTTTTTTCTTTTTTTTTGGAGGGAGAGGAAGGTGGGGGAAAGAAACAGCAGTTTGTTCCTCTACTTTTTTATGCATTCATTGGTTGCTTCTTATATGTGCCCTGAGTGAACCCACAACTTTGGCGTGTCAGGATGACTCTCTGACCAACTGAGCTACACAGCCAGGCCACACACACATTTTTCTCATCCTTTTTTGAAGTAAGACCTGTATAGACTTGATGCCACCAGTGGTTGCTTGCTGTTGGCATTAAGCTTTCCTTGGGTAAAGGATTATTTTCTCTTCAGATCTCCAGCTAAATGGCAGATTAATGTGCCCACTTTTCTCTCTTAAATCCAGTTGCTAACAGGCATCCACTTGGTACAGTTTTGCTTTCCTAGGATGACATCTTTTCATGTAAGTGCAGCCTGGTTCTTTGACGCTGTCTTGAGAGAATAGGTAAAAAGGTACAATTTGTCTAGTCTCTGTCCCATCCGTAGCATTTACCTGTTAGAAATCCACTTTGTAGGATTCATTGTGCCACCACTGGTTTGCTCTTTTTGCTCTGTTACCTTATGAATTATTTTCTAAAAGGATGTAGAATGATGGTGGAGGACAGTGAGCAAGAACAGAACTCTTTGGTTTTGTCATAAAGTAGTATCAGGATGGTATATGTTGGCTGCTAGGTTTTCTAGATGGTATACTCCTCAGGTCTCATGAGTAAGGAATTGGGGAGATATAAACGACCCTTTTTACCACCACCGCCCCAACCATTTTAGCCTATCTATTTCTTGTGGTGAGGCCAAGACAGTGCCATCAATCTTCAACAAGAATGTAGAGAGTTATCCCACATTCTAGTGTTAGGTTTTTCAGTAGTTGTTTTTAGTAGTTCAGTTATTGATGAGGTAACATTTTTTTCCTTTTTCTTTCTTCTTTTGTGTGTGTGTGTGTGTGTGTATGTGTTTTCATAGACATTTTAGTGGTAAGTGGAGAGGCCACATTCAATTCCGCTGTTTGGATATAATTTGAAACCTGGAGTTTACTAAGGCTGATTTAACAGAATTTAAATTAATTGGTTGAGGCATCTCTGAGGATAGTTCCTAGTTACAGTTTTTTGTCCTGTATCCTGATGTATTTTTCCCAGTTCTGCTTGCTTTTATATTTTATTTGTACTTACCCATAATTAGATACCCCATCCCCTAACAGTAAAAAGACAGTCTTTTTATTATTTTTAGTAGGGACAGGCCATGTTAATAGAGGGCTTCTTTTTTTAAATTTTCATTTATTGATTTTGGAGAAAGAAACATCAATTTATTGTTCTCTTTATTCACTCATTCATTGGTTGCTTCTTGCATGTGCCCTGACCAGACATCAAACCCAAAACCTTGGTGTATCTGGATGACGCTAACCAACTAAGCTACCAGGCCAGGGCAGTAGAGGGCTTTTAAAGCTTTTGCTAGTCTGTGGTCTGAGTCTCTGGTAATTCAAGAACTAGCAGGGAGAAAAAAGGGTTATGAGTAACAAAGTTGTGCTAGAACTTGAATCTGTGTTGTGCCAGGGCTTGTATTTATTGAGGGAAGATTGCCAGCTGGCAATGGTAGTAGAAATAAGTCTCTTGGGAAGGGGAAACTAACTCTAGAGAATTTCTAGTTAAGATTTACCATCGAATCTCTGGGCTTTTGGAAATATTGTATTCTTCCTTGGGGAGATGAAGTGGGAATTAACTTTTCTCTGGTCCAATGTGACTTGTTTAGAAATACAATTGAACTTGTTTGTTTTGTCCATTATGATGTGATAGCCCCCTAGGAAAGGGTCTGTTTTGTGTGGGAGTTTATTTCAGGCTGTCTCCTTGCCTGTATTGTTTTCTTTAACAGCTTTTCAAATTTTCTTTTTCCAGCAATGATGTTGTCCACTGGGCATGTACTGACCAATGTGGCAGGTCTGAGAACATAGCTGAAGCTGAAAATAGGAAAGCTGGGGGCAAGGAAGAGCCTTGAATCTTGAGGTGGGACGTTGACTCTAAGATGTCCTTGAGCAGTGGAGCCTCCGGAGGGAAAGGAGTGGATGCAAACCCGGTTGAGACATACGACAGTGGGGATGAATGGGACATTGGAGTAGGGAATCTCATCATTGACCTGGACGCCGATCTGGAAAAGGACCAGCAGAAACTGGAAATGTCAGGCTCAAAGGAGGTGGGGATACCGGCTCCCAATGCTGTGGCCACACTACCAGACAACATCAAGTTTGTGACCCCAGTACCAGGTCCTCAAGGGAAGGAAGGCAAATCAAAATCCAAAAGGAATAAGAGTGGCAAAGACACTAGCAAACCCACTCCAGGGACTTCCCTGTTCACTCCAAGTGAGGGGGCAGCTAGCAAGAAGGAGGTGCAGGGACGCTCAGGAGATGGTGCCAATGCAGGAAGCCTGGTTGCTGCTATTGCTCCCAAGGGCTCAGAGAAGGCGACTAAGGCATCCCGTAGTATAGCCGGCTCTAAAAAGGAGAAGGAGAACAGCTCATCTAAGAGCAAGAAGGAGAGAAGCGAAGGAGTGGGGACTTGTTCAGAAAAGGATCCTGGGGTCCTCCAGCCAGTCCCTTTGGGATCACGGGGTGGTCAGTATGATGGAAGTGCAGGGGTGGATACAGGAGCTGTGGAGCCACTTGGGAGTATAGCTATTGAGCCTGGGGCAGCGCTCAATCCCTTGGGAGCTAAACCGGAGCCAGAGGAAGGGGAGAATGAGTGTCGCCCGCTAAAGAAAGTCAAGTCTGAAAAGGTAAGAGGTGGCCAGATCTGGCTGCCTGGTGCCAGTCAGAACTGCCCTGGGTGAACCACCAAATGCTCTGTGTGCTCTGTGGGAGATTCAGTAGTTCGTGGGGAATGACCATTTACAAGGTCAGAGCAGTTGGTAATGATAATATGGTTTTGTTTTAAATCAGGGGATTTGCTACAGATTCCTTAACAGTGGGCCTGGACATTTTGGAGAAGAATATTTATTGTTGGGGGGAGCTACTTGTAGAATGAATTTTCTATTAAGTCAAACTGAGAACCTCCCACCTTGTTTTTGTCCTACCTCAGACACTTGTTGCCAGAAAGTAGCATTACACTTCATGTGGTTCCCAGCTTGACTGGCATTTCGTCCTCTAAGCCATTGGTCAATTTAATAATAAGTCGATAAACTTAATAGCATTTCTGTTGAATGCTGTTCTTAATGGGATAAATGTTGTTGCTGGGTCTTGGGAGGAGAAAAGAGTTAAGTCCCATGGCATGATGTCCACCAGGTACAGTATTGGTGGCTACCAAAGAGCAAAGGGGAACAATGAGGGACAGGTAAACAAGGGGGGAGGAGGTACTGACTATACTATGAGGTACTTAATCAGGATTTATGAATTAGTGTGGTAGCTGTGAAAGTTTAGCCTTGAAAGAGATTCTTTGGCCACAAAAGGTATAGATCTTGGCCAGGTATCTCACTTAACTATTGGGAATCAAAGTCTCCTCGTGGTTTAATAGCTGCCAAACAATGTAATGATGATACCATGCCTTCTGTTTGACTTGGAAGGACAGGTGCCTGCAGCCTCGGGAGGGACTCTAGTCTGGGAAGATGATCTTAGTTCACGTCTCAGGAAATGGAGCTTGCAGAGCTGGAGTAGAGAGGTGAGAGGCTAGGGTCAGCTCAGACTGCCTTAAACTTCAGCAGTTTACAATCGCCTGCAGAGTGGTTGGCCTGGGGACAAGCTGTTCATTGGCTCTTGATTTTCTGCTCTGTGTTCTGCTCACCCTGTGCTTTCAGTGGATCCCAGTAGATGTAGTATAAATTGATTTCTCTGTAATTACATCAGCTGCAACAGGGAATACCTATTTTCATATGTAAGTGTTAATAAATAGAAGGTGGATTTGTATGTTTAGGTGGTGGTGCCCTCTCAGTGTCTGATTCCAGTGGTAGCTTATGCTTTTTTGCTGTAGATATTTTGGTCTTTGCCTGTGGCACATCTGTAGCTCTTAGCAACATCTGGGCTTCCTTGGCAACAGGGCAATGAATTTTCTTCTACTAATAACACAATGGTTTATTCCCTTTTACCAGTGGCAGCTGCCAGAGAAGCTGCCTGTGTTTAGGTGGCAGATGCTATCGTCCACCTCAGCAGAGTCAAGTTCCAGCTGGTTACTGGCATGGTTCATCCTAAGCTGGCTGCAATTTACCATTTTCTCTGGGGTGCAGATGGATAATACTGTTTTGAAGAGGCCTTGGAGTACCAGGAGTTCTTGCTTCTGTTCCAGGCCCATTAGACTGTTTCCTACATCTGGCTTCAGTAAAGTCTTGCCATATATACCCAAGTTCATAATCATTGTTCCTCCTTTGCTGAAAGTAGCCACTTCTAAGACTGGCCTTCATTTTCCTTTCTGTTTAGGATTCTTGCCTCAAATGCTGCAATCTTCTAAGCCCAGTATTTGTCTATGGGTGAAAGGATTAATGATGCTTAGCTTCATGTAGGATTTAATTCTAAATGTGCATGATAGTCTCCAACAGAGAGGCAAATGGAACACATTTTCTCTTATAGATGCAAAGACTGGTTGAGTGGCCCTTCAAATTATAATTGGGCTGAAGGATGCAGTCCATTTGGCTAAGAATACACCTTGGTGCTGGGGGAGTTTTGTCCCTTAATAATGTAGCTGTGTTATAAGCCTTGTGGCCCGGGGAGACTGAGAGCAGTAGAATGAGAGAGAAAAGGTAGAGAAACTGTGCTTCAGTTTTTGCAAAGAAGATAAAATTGCTGGGAATTACTTTCAGAAATAGAGCATTTGTTGTGCATTTTGATGTTAACTGTAAACAGGAACCAGCTTTCTTGGTTCCTTTCCCTGTTCCCTCAATCGTTTTGAGGGTGCTTTAACATAAAACCTCTGACCATGAAAATAATTATTTAAATAAATGTTTGGACATTGCTAGGAGATGAAAACACTTTGTGCAGGGAGACGGTGATTCTGGGAGGAGGAAAAGGCTCAGGAAAAAAGGGCTAACAATCTTGGAGTTGAGTAGCTTTTGAGAAAGTAGGACCTCTAGGATTAGGGCATGATAGGTGTTTAGTCAGTGTTTGATGATTAATACAATAGCTTATGGGCTAAGTCTTTGAAAACCTCTTTTAAGATTTTCTCTCTGAGCCCTGACTGGTGTGGCTCAGTTGGGTAGGCATCACAAACCGAAAGGTCACCAATTTGATTCCCAGTCAGGGTACATGCTAGAGTTGCGGACAAGATTCCCAGTTGGGGGCATGTGGGAAGCAGTTGATCAATCTTTGTCACATACTGATGTGATGTTTTTCTCCCTTGTCGCCCCTGCTTTAAAAAAATAAAATCTTTAAGCAATAAAAAACATTTTTCATTCTGAGATATGGGCTTGCCTATGGCTTTACTGGTTTGCAATGTTTCTTCCATGTGGGACAGCCAACAGAGTCAAAACAGCAAAACACATGTTTTGATATAATCTAGGAATCACATACTCTGAGTTGGGAATTGTCCTGAAGAAAGAAAACTCAATATTTTGGGAGTGTCTTGACCTGAGTCCCCCTGCCCACCCCTCCTCGGAGAGAGGAGAGTAGACAAATGGAGTTTGTGGTATAGGGTAGAATTGTCACGTGTCTTCCACTAGCTAATAAGGAAGGTTTGAATATTCAGATTACCTCAGGACCTTTTCTTTCATACACGTATGTATCTTATGCTATAACTGAGGGAATTTTCTGTTAGCCAAGGATGTGGATTTCCCTTCATGGGACCACTTCTCCACCACACCTCTCTCTGGCATGGCTCACTGTGCTGTTTCAGAGTCCAGAGATGGCTCTTAGCAACTGCCGCTGCCCCGAATTGTTGAGCACGCCTGCCTCATACTTTCTGCTAGCTGGAGAGATGAGGATGGGGGCGGATTGTTGAGGAATAAACAAGACTGAGCCTTCTGGCTCCTGCCTGTTCCCTTGCCTGTGGTTTGATTGATAGGTTGTTAAGTTAGGGACCACTGCCTGTCTGAATGTTCCAAGCTTAATGCTTGCACTGCCACTCTGACAGGCAAGAAAAAAAGAATTTACAAACCACAGAAGGCAGTGATCTATCTGTGACAACTCTTGTCATGCAGACAGAGCCAGGGCTGAAACCAGGAGTTTAAGTGAGACTCCTTTTTTTTTCAAGTCATATAAAGTAACCAGTAGGCTCTAGTGGCTAAAGGATCTAGAAGTTTGCAACCAGGAGCTCCTCTTACCTCTTTAGCTGCTGCTTTTGATCTTGCAAGGTAGAAACACTCTGCTGCTGCTGCTGCCGCTCTCAGAATGCTGCATATATTACCACTTCCCCCATTACTTTAGGATACAAAGAAAATGATAAAGTATGTTCTTAGCTATTTTGCCTTCTGATCATGCTTGCTATTATATCTTATATCCTTTGTTCTAAGCATCTTACTTTGCCCTTGGTTTTGTTTTCCTGCCCTGGTTTCTGCCTTCCAACTCAGTTCTATTGTGTTGCAATCCCTCATTGCCCAACCAAGGTCAGGTCTCTTGTATTCCTACTGATACAAGACTTTCTCTCTTAACACCTTCATCCTTTTGTAGCTGTTCTTTCTCAGTGATAGCTTAGCAGTCAGCTTTGCTTCCTGAAGCCAAATTACCTCAAGCATTTTCCTTCATGGAAAAAATTTATGTGGAACAGAGATGTATTCTTTAACTACAGTGGAGCCTGAGCTTAATTTATTTTTTCTTCAGCAGCTCTGTTTTCCACCTCGGTGTTGTAATTCAAGGAGGGCTCAGGGAAAGATTATCTTGTCCAACCTCCTCATTTTATAGAAGAGGAAACTAAGACCAGGGAGGTCATGTGACTTGTCTGGGATCTCCCAGGTAGTCAGTGGCAAAGCCAGACATAGAAGCCAGGTATTTTGTTACCACATTTTTATATCATGTTGTCACTCCAGGATTCTTAACAAATCTTTAACTGTTATGAGACATTTTTTGTTTTCCCACTTTAAAAATTACCTCAGAAACTTTGGATGTAAATGCCCAAATACTCTCAAGACTTTTTTTAAATTTATTTTTTTGACTTTATTTACTTTTAGAGAGGGGAAAGAAGGGAGAAAGAGGAAGAGAAACATCATTGTGTGGTTGTCTCTCATGTACCCCCTACTGGGGACCTGACCCACAACCCAGGCATGTACCCTCACCGGGAATCGAACTGGCGACCCTATGGTTTGCAGGCCATTGCTCAATCCACTGAGCCACAGCAGCCAGAGCAAGACTTTTTTTTTTTAATTAAAATTTATTGGGGTGACATCAGTTAGTAAAATTATATAGGTTTCAAGTGGACAGTTCTATAATTAGCACCTGTATATTGCATTGTGTGTTTACTACCCAAAGTCAAATCATCTTCCATCCCCACATATTGTAGCCTCCTCATCCTTTATCACCTACCCACTCTCTCCTCCCTCTGATAACCACCATACTGTTGTCGGTGTCTACAGGTTTTTGTTTGTCTTGTTTGTTCATTTGTTGCTCTTAGTTTTACAGCTCATATGAGTGAAATCATACGGACTTTTTCCATTTGACTTGTTTTGCTTAGCCTGATATTCTCAAGATCCATTCACGTTGTCACAAATGGCTGTATTTCATTTTTTCTTATGGCTGAGAATTCCATTGTATGTATGTATCTCATCTTATTTATCCCATTCAGCTAACAAAGGACACTTTGGTTGTTTCCATGTCTTGGCCACCATGAACAATGCTGCAGTGAACATAGGGATACATGTATCTT